ATAAGTGCATGTGTATGTATGTGTGCATAAAAGAAGTCCAGAATGATTAGAATATCAACTTGGAGGGTTCAGGGTATCTCCTAGTCGAGCAGTCTCGACTAGAGTCTTCTTACTTGTTATACCCTGAACCCATTGAAAATGGGAAATCAGGGTATAATGGTTTTGTGAAAAAGTATAAAACGGGCAGAAGGAATCATCGCAGACCCCATAAAGTATATATATTCTTGATTAGCTCGACGAGCTGAGTCGATATAGCCCTGTTCGTCTGTCCGTCCGTCCGTATGAGTGCGTCGATCTGAGAAGTTATAAAAGCTAGAGAGCTGAAACTTGGTATGCATACTTGTGTATAACATACGTAGTACAAGGTTATCATATTTTTTCAACAACTCGTCCGATAACTTCTTTATTGAAAATGAGCGAAAAATTGATTTTGTTTATTTAGCCTATTTTGAACACTTTTAGACCTAGAGACTTCAGATTTACTGTGTATATATAGTAGATACGAAAATTTAGTAATTTACAGATTTTAGATACCACGCCCCCTTCGCCCMCAATTTGTAAAAAACGCATTTCAAGTACTAGAGACTTGTGGTTTGGAATGTACACACATTTTCACACATTTCACATATGACTGCGCTCTGAAAGATTCATTTAGATTGTATGTCTACAAAAGAAATTATTCAACAAATAAATTCTCATAATATTGTCCACACTGCGCAGCCTAAGCTGTGTCGCTGCTAACTGCGCAGTCAGCAGAGCGCGGGATTATACGTGCGTGTGTATGCGTGTGTGCATAAAAGAAGTTCAGAATGAGTAGAATATCAGCTTAGAGGGTTAAGGGTATCTCCTAGTCGAGCAGTCGACTGGAGCCTTCCTACTTGTTTTTCTTTGCGAACTTTGCTCATAAATAATGCATCAAATACCTTTTAATTATACAAACATACCAGGTGTCCCCTCCCCAAGCACCAATAAATGGACACACACTTTGTTTTCACCCAAGTGTAAAGAGTCGTGTTTATTAGCCAAAACAAACGCAAGCAAGCCCAGTGTTGGTCTGTATATGCTTGTATATTCTGGCAAAAGTTACACTTTAATGTAATACGAAGCAGCAAGGGAATGCCCTAATGAAATGCATTGTCAAATGAAATGGTAAAATTGACGACGTCCACTCTTTCCTAAAGTGCCCAACCGCATTAAATCAGCAAACTAACCGCCACTAAATAAACACTCACACAAGCACACACACGTAAGCAGCAAATGTTGGTTGCTGCCTCGACCAGGATCTAAAGTTAAAAGCACTTGTAACAAATTGAAATCATTCATCTTACTTTTCGCATTCATTTGCACTCACATCTACACACTCCTGCATACCCACCCGCACACACACACACACACAGGTGTACATGTGCCAAGCCCCGTCGTCCACATTAATGTGGGTCTTTCAAATTCGCCTGGTCAGCGAATAGCCAATAAGTAGTTGGGATTTGGGCATTTCTGTGCACAGGTAAAACCACCTTGTATTTACTGTTAATTTATAGAGTGAGACAAAGCTTATCTCTACTGGAAGCGTTGCTCATTCTGTATAAATTTCTATAACACGTAGACAGTTCTACTGGGATACAAATGTAAATATCTTCAAAGTAAACCATTTCCCAAAAATATATTTATTTTTTTTTCGATTAAGAAACTAATTGACCGAGTGATAGATTAATAACATATAAAATGCTTTAACGAATTAAATAAATAAAAATTTCAGATCCCTTAATTTCCAGTTCAGATACATATATGTAACAGCTTTTAAAACAAAGGATGATAGATTAATAACATATAAAATGCTATAACGAATTAAATAAATCAAAAATTCAGTTCCCTTAATTTCCAGTTCAGATATATGTTTGTAACAGCCTTTAAAACAAAAAAAGGCTACTGATACAATTCCTATAAAATACAATATATCAAATTATATGCAGAATCCTAGACAGTGGATACTTCAATACTAAAAAATTTCCCAACACTCGAAATGAATGAATATGGGCATTTCTCCAGAAAGGTCAACCGCAGCCAAAACATTCAAAGTCAATGAAAGCATGTTCTTCTAACATATTTTTTTTAACCAATCCATCAAATCTAACTAATATAAACCAATTTTACATTTTATCATAATACATTTCGACACAAAGCCAAATAAGTGCAAATGTTCTGTTATGAGCATTTCTATTGCACATTTTGTTCTTATAATTGAGACACTATGCAATTAAATATGATACTTCGAATTTTCTCTATTTTATTATAATTAATAAATTGAATATATTGAAAATCATTTGTAATACTTTTATTCATGTGAAATTGCTAAACAAAAAAAAAATTAAAAGAAAAGAAAAACAAAATGTATGGTGGAAAAAATATCTTGTTCGACCCTAATTAAAACTAAAAAATAAAAATAAAAATACTCTATATTTTTGAGTCAAATAAAAAACATTGTAAAGATGTGCCAATTTCTAAAATTTTAAAACTATTCGTAATAAATTGTCACTTAAGGTTTCGCTAAAATCTCAGGTTGAATTGTTCATTTAAAAAGCGACTTACGTTTTTGTAGGCTGCGAACCTCCTGGTTTTTTGTGATTATCTTGAAAACTAACATTTGCCTAAAATCAGATTTAGCACCAAATATAGAGCTAATCAAGAGCTAAAGGATTCACTATTCGTCAAAATAAATAAATATTTTGGCATTCGTTTTTTTTTTTTTTTTTTAACTCAAGAACGTACGAATGTCATATTCGCCACTAGAAAATTGCCCATATGTACATATTATAAAGTGAGCGCACTCAAGCGAAAACATAAATACGCATTGTAAACATATACATACATATGTATACATCTTCGTACAGAAAATAAAGAAAAAAATTTTAGAAGTGAACTTCAGTTTTTCGCTCAATCGAGTTGTCTGCTGCAGTTACTGCAAGCGCTTTCGAGTGGAAGTGGCTATTAAAACCGGCCAAGAACTGTCAAAGTGAAGTAGAAGAGAAATAAACTCGCCATTCAACTAAAAATTGCATTGATGACGCGGTAGATGGGGAAAAATAAATATAAAAGAAGGAAAATCTTTATACATAGATAGCAGAGACTTCACAATCGTCTTATACGTATTAACTTATGAGCTCTTTACTTATACAACTAATCACTCTCACACTCCCTATCCCTTCTCCTATATCTCAAGCTCTCTGTCTCTCTTTCTTTCTCTACCTCTCTCTCTCACTCTTTCTCTCTCTCTCTCGATCTGCTATCTGCCCTCTATCTCTCAGAGGCTTCGCTGACAGCTATAAGTAGAATCAGGTTGATCTTCATAAGGCGCGTTCAGTGCGATTGAGCTGGCAACGGGAAGAACACGTTGCAACGCTATATTTAAAATCTTGTTATCGAATAAATTGGCTTTGTATTTAAAATTTAATTTACATTTTTATAATTTCAAAATGAAAATCCTTCTGGTTTTGATGATGCTACAAAGGTTACTTTATAGCTACGCGCAAGGTGAGCAAAGACAATGGCCGCTCACACAATCATTGGGTAGATTCCCAGAATTGATTCAGAGAACGACTAACAAGAATAAAAAACAAGAAGTAATCAACTGGTTATCAGCTATGAACTCGACCCAATGAAATCTGTGAAACGACGCGTCGTTTACATTTTCAAATATTCGGCATTGTCATTTTTCATTTATTTTGTGTTCATTCCTATTTTTTTTTTTTTTTTTTTTTTTATTTATTTTTTTTTTTTTTTTTTTTTTTTTTTTAATTTAACTTTGTACTTAATTTATATTTAATTTTATTACTATTTTCTCTACAGAAACCTTCGGATATTGTACTACGCCTACTGAGCAAAGTGGCACCTGTATTTATCTCAGAGATTGCACCTATCTATTCGAGCTGATCCAGAAGAGGACTTTATCGTCGTCTGAACGCAGCCTCCTACAAAATAGCCAATGCGGCTATCGGAATGGTCAGGTATTGGTGAGTATGAATCAATAAATAGAGATATTTATATATGTGTGACAGCAATGAAAACTCGTGAAACCCACCTGGTGGGTGAACGAATACACTTGACTTTGATGGTCTGTCTGTCTGTCCGTCCGTCCGTATGTATAAACGCGTCGATCTCAGAAGATATAAAAGCTAGGGACTTGCTTTTTTTCCTAGGTCCGTGTATATCACGCACATATCGAGTTTTTCTCTAAATATCGATAGTTACCGCCGATATTTGATTATCGATTAAAAACCTTATCGAAAGCTAGGTTTTTAATTATATCTCCTACTCCTTTGGCAAATGCATGCATATCCATGTTATAATCATAATCTGAATAATAATTATTGAAATATCAGTTGCTCGAAGGGTTCAGAAAATCTCGTAGTCGAGCAGTCTCGACTAGAGCTTTCTTATTTGTTTTTTAAAGCGTTTTTTAGACTCATTCACGAAAGTGAAAGAGTATATTGGTTTTGTGCAATGCCCGTCTTGCTGTCCGTCTGTCCGTATGAACGCAGTCTATTTCGGCGCTATTGAAGCTAGAGACTTGGAACACATACTCGTGTATATCTCCGATTTATAGTGTTAAAGTTTTCCCGATCCGCCCACTAGGGGTGTGGCAAATCGGAAAATGCATTTTCCGATATACCAGAAATCATGTTTGTTGAAGAGCTAGAAAGCTGAAATTTGGTATGTAGGTCCGCGNTAATAAGAGAGCGTCATCAGACAAAACTACAGTAACGGCTAGAAAGTCCAGAAATCAATCGAAATTCTAAGAATGTGAGAAAAGGCGCGCTTCTGTCTGTACGCATAGAATAGACGATGAGTGTGTGCACAAGCATAGGAAAATCGCGCTGATCTGCTGTTAGCTTGAAGCCGGTATCCAATGTATGGATATAAATATATAATAAAAATCAAAATTGTATAAATTATATATGTATGTAATTTGAATGCAATAGCTATCGATGATTTTCCAATTTTAATGGCATCATGCCGTGTTTTTTGTTGCGCACTAGACTTGAAAATTGCACTATATACTCTGGTTGACAGCGTTTGGGCTGTGAATGAGTCTTCTGCAATCGGTATCGCCCGACTGTAACGTTCTTACTTGTTTTTAACTATTATTTTACCCCATCCACAAAGAAAAATGGTGGGTAGTAGGCTAGCTGAAGTTATACTGTACATTTGAAATTATTTGCAGATTTGCTGCGCAAATAGTCGCCAACTAAGCGAACAGCCCATTTGGGGCCAAAAGCAACCACAATCCCAGCCCCAGCCGCAACCAAGCATGCCCATTAGTCGCTCTGGGCTTCTACCCCAGGCTCCAAATTGTGGCGATAACTTCGCCGATCGGGTGGTGGGTGGTATCAATACTGCCATTAATGAATTTACCTGGTTGGCTCTAATCGAGTATACAAAACGTAAGTGGAACGTCGTCCAGCCGAAACTGCACTAATGCGTTTGCTTTCGCAGCCAACAATGATATTGGACACCACTGTGGGGGATCGCTGATCAACAACCGTTATGTTCTAACAGCGGCGCATTGCGTTTCCGCCATACCAAGTGATTGGCGGCTGACGGGCGTCCGTTTAGGTGATTGGGACACCACATCCAATCCAGACTGTATCACCGGGCGAAATGGCAAAACGGACTGCAATGATCCGTATGTCGATGTGGGTGTTTCGGAGAGAATACCACATCCTCAGTACCCCGGAAACACGCGGGATCAATTTCATGATATTGCGCTGCTGCGTTTGAGTCGGGAAGTGGCCTTCACGAATTTCATTTCGCCTGTTTGTCTGCCGATACTGCCGCAGCAAAGGAATACGATTTTCCTGGGACGTAAAATGTTTGTCGCTGGCTGGGGTCGTACCGAAACGAATAACACATCGAATATCAAGCTTAAGGCTGAACTGCAACCTGTGCCTACAGAGGACTGTAATCGCCGATATCAGTCCCAGCGACGTACTCTGACATCGAATCAAATGTGCGCTGGTGGAGTAGAAGGCATCGATTCTTGCCGAGGTGACTCCGGCGGACCATTGGGTAACATATATAACCATCAATATCAATAATATCTTTCAATGCTTTCCCATTTTAGTCATGGAGGAGTCCAATAACGGTTACAGCAATTTTTATTTGACTGGCGTTGTCTCATATGGACCCACACCTTGCGGTCTTGCCGGCTGGCCAGGCGTATACACACTTGTATCTGCCTACATTGATTGGATTGAGGCAACGATAAGAGCATAAAAACGGAAAATTGATGCTTTAGATTTTATAAACCGATTGTTGATCAATTTTTCGTATATATATTTTATACTGGAATATCAGCGCTATAGCTTTTAGCCTAAAATTACAAAAA